TCCTCCTCCCCCTTTCATCCTCCATCTCCTCCCTCTTCCTCCTCCCTCCCTTTCCTCCTCCTCCTCCTTCTCCTATTCATCTTCCTCCCTCTTCCTCCCTCTTCATCCTCCCCCTTTTCATCCTCCTCCTTCTCTTCATCTTCCTCCTTCTCTTCATCCTCCTCCTCCTCCTCCTCCTCCTCCTCTTCCTCCTCCTTCTCCTCCTTCTCCTCCTCCTCCTCCTCCTCCTCCTCCTCCTTCTCTTCCTCCTCCTCCTCCTCCTCCTCCTCCTCCTCCTCATCCTCCTCCTCCTCCTCCTCCTCCTCCTCCTCCTCCTCCTCCTCCTCGGTCAGTTTCTCCTCCTCCTCCTCCTCCTCCTCCTCGGTCAGTTTCTCCTCACAGTTCAGATTGTATTTGTTCTGGTTTGGAGAGAGGCTCGGAGCTCGGAGCTCAGTAACGACAGAATGAGCTGCAGTGAAGAGAAACTGATTCAGGGTCAGTGATGGAGACTCAAACGACTTTGTACATTTTCCACGTGGTGAACGTCCGACACCAGACTGTAAATAAAGATGGACGACTCGTCTCCACGTCCTCCTGTCGAACAAAAGTGAGACTAAAATATCTGGGATACCAACGTCTCTTGGCTTCAGCGTCTGTGCATGTTGCCCCCTGGTGGCTGGCTGCAGTACAGGTCCAAATCATGGAAACAATATGAAACCGTTTAGATTAACAGTGATTGTTGATTCTCATCATCAACCATCAGAGGATTTTCTGTCCGAACGAACACTCAGAGAATCAGGAAACCAACTCTGACAGGAAACAGCTGAATTCATCAGATCCTGCGTCGACGCTCAGCGGCGTCCATTTTGTGTTGATGTAGCAGCAGGTTGTGTTTAATGGAGGTTTGGATCAGAGCCACAGTCTGTTCAACACAAGAAGAAGAATCCAGGCTCCTCTGTTGGTGCAGGAACACACACACACACACACACACGCACACACACACACACACACACGCACACACACACACACACACACACACACACACACACGCTCTTTGTCTGCAGGTCTTTGGCTCACACACACACAGATATCACACCCAGAGGCGTTGCTATGGTGACAGGAATGAAAGCTCTAATACGCCTCTCCGAGGATTTCAGGCTGAATTTAAATGATGCTGTGTGTGTGTGTGTGTGTGTGTGTGTGTGTGTGTGTGTGTATTACTCATCTTGTGGGGACCTAATCTCTTACGTTACATTACTGGGACAAAAAAACATTTATTTAAATATCATTCATTTCAGGTTAAGTTATGTTTAATGTTAGTAAGGTTAAGATTAGATTAGGGTCAGACGAGCAGTAGTTAGTTTTCAGTCATGTTTAGTGTTAAATTCTGATGAAGCTCAGTTGAGATTAAAATCTGAATCTGCAGCTGACGACAGATAGATAGAGACAAATATGTGTGTGTGTGTGTGTGTGTGTGTGTGTATTTTTCCTTGTGACATATGAGTTTGATCAATAATAAAAATTCAGTGCTTCTCTTCCATATTCAACAGCTGAGTCTCCTGCAGGTTATATATCAACAGTCCACATATTAATTATGATCTACATTGAATAGATTTCATTTATGTATGTAAAACTAGTTTGAACAGATGTGGATGATTTGTTTGTTGGAAGAGAAAAAACCATGAGGCTGAAATTCCAGTTTCTGTTTTAGACGAAAGACGAGAACGAGCTTCACAAACATCATCAACCTGAACATCTTCATGTCTGACTCACTGTGACAATGACATCATCATCATCGTCGTCCTTTGCTTCTTCTCCCTCCTCCTCCTCAGCTGTCTGGAGCTGAGAAGCCCCCTGCTGGTGAACCGGAGAACTCGTCTTCCTCGGCTGCAGCAGCCGGATCAGACGCTCCTGCAGACGGAGGCAGCAAGGTGACGACACATCAGAGATTCTTTCACTTTACAGAACAATGAAAGAATCAATCAATCGCAGACAAACAGTTCAAATAGAGAAAGTTCAACTGAACTGATTCAAAGTACAAACTGTTTTAATTCTCTTAAATGATAAAACACATCCAGTTCAGTAGTGAAGTTATTCCAGCTGAAAACAGTGAACTTCAAATAAAGCTGCTCCTCATGTTAACGGTTTGTGACGTCCTCAGGTGGAGATGGTCTTCTGGCTGCTCTCCATGCTCGCCAACAGGGACAAGGAAGAGATGTCCCGGACTCTGCTGGCCATGTCCAGCTCTCAGGACAGCTGCATCGCCATGAGGAAGTCTGGCTGCGTCCCCCTGCTGGTCCAGATCCTGCACGAAGCTCCGGGTGGTGGAGTTGGTGCTGGAGAGACCACGACGACAGCAACAGGCGGCACGATGGGGGGCTGCAGCCGAGAGGCCAAATCCAGAGCCAGCGCCGCCCTCCACAACGTCATCTACTCCCAGCAGGACGAGGGCCAGGCCCGGCGGGAGATGAGGGTCCTGCACATGCTGGAGCAGATCCGCACCTACTGCGACAGCGGCTGGGACTGGATCGAGAGCCACGCCACGACGCCTTCGCCTGGAGGAACCAGAACCACCGGTGAGTCAAGTTCTCCGTAAACATAGAACCAAAACCAGCGTCAGGACGGAACCATCAGAGGAAAGCATCAATCAAGGTTTTCTTCCTGATACTGTGACAAACACAAAACTGAATTAACGACAGAATCCTCAGCAACAATAACTCAAACCAGACGTTAACTGAAGTTTCACCAGCAAACGTCCACATCACCTCCTCCAGGACTAAAGCGTTTTCATTAGCAGACCTCAAGTTAGTTCGTTCGAAAAATAATGATTTGAAAAATCAAAAATGAAGGATTGAAGGAAGAATTACTGCAATAATATAAGTATAAAAATGATATAGATGAAAAAATAAAATACATCTAAATGATTAAAATAATAATGATAATACTCTATTATTATATCTTCAGATATTCCTGAACCCGTGGACCCTCAGATCTGTCAGGCCATGTGCGCCATCATGAAGCTTTCCTTCGAGGAGGAATACCGACGAGCCATGAACGAATTAGGTTTGTGAGATGCTGATGCCCCTCCCCCCCACCACACGCAGGCGTTGCAGGCTGATGATTCTGTGTTGTTCTCCAGGTGGCCTGCAGGTGGTGGCAGATCTGATCCACCTGGACCATGACATGTACGGCATGCAGAACGACCCCATCAACATGGCGCTGCGGCGATACGCAGGAATGGCTCTGACCAACCTGACGTTTGGAGACGTTGTCAACAAGGTACGACCCAAAATTATGAATAAAGATGGACGACATGTCGGCTCCCAAAAGTGAAGCTAAATCATCTTCATCACCCCCTGGTGGTTGACTGCAGTATAAACTGCATTATAAACCCCCCTCCTCCATATTGACAGATGGGACATGGGCCAAATAAAAAACTCAAAGTAGACGTTAAATAAATGTTTGTCAAAGATGTTTCTGTTGTTTCAGCTCGTTCTCTTCTCTCTGATGTTTGTTCAAGAGTTTCTCATCAGTTTGGTTTCATTAGTTATTGATGATGTAAAAACAGGCGGAGACGTCATGATTGACAGCTGACACTGACTCAGGACTGGTCAAAAACGTGTGTGGGTAAAAATGCTCCAGGTTGTTTCAGCTGATTCGTTTTTTCAGATCGTCAGTGTTCAGTGTTTTCATGTTGTCATCACTGGTGTTAACGCTGTTGAAGATTTTCTTTTACTGTAGAATAAGACGCGTCTCTTTATGCAGTGAGTTAAAAACTGATTCATCATGTTCGTCCTCCCGCAGGCGACCCTGTGCTCCAAGAAGAGCTGCCTCCAGGCTCTGGTAGCCCAGCTAGCCTCCGACAGCGAGGAGCTTCATCAGGTGGTCTCCAGCATCCTGAGGAATCTGTCCTGGAGGGCCGACATCAGCAGCAAGAGAGTCCTCCGAGACATCGGCTGCGTGTCTGCGCTTATGACCTGCGCCCTGCAGGCCACTAAGGTGAGGAAAACAAACCAACCCATGCTGAGTCGATGCTATGATGAGAGAGAAACCAGGTTTATTTTAAAAGATGACGTGAAGAGGATTTGTTCCTTCGATATTTATAACATCCAGAGTGAAACATTTCAAATTTTCTTCTCCAGACATTGAGTTCCACATATCATCATGTTCTGCTTTGAAATGTTTGTGATCTGGATGTTGAAATGCTAACATTAAGGAATCTTTTGCACACATGAGATTTTAAAATTATTAAACTGAACTAAAACCTGTTTGTTTGGCTGGTTCTTCAGGAGTCGACCCTGAAGAGCCTCCTGAGCGCTCTGTGGAACATGTCGGCTCACAGCATCGAGAACAAGGTGGCGATCTGCTCTGTGGACAGCGCTCTGGGATTCTTGGTCAGTACGCTGACGTACCGATGTCAGACCAACTCACTCGCCATCATCGAGAGTGGAGGGGGGATCCTACGAAACGTGTCGAGTCTGGTCGCCACACGAGAAGACTACAGGTCTGTTTCTTTCTGTTTCGACTACAAGCTGTCACTTTGGTGCTTTTTTAGTATGATGGAGGACATTGGGGAGACAGAAAAACCACAAAGTATTTTTGGAGCTTTTAACCAAAGCTCAGTCAAACTTCATTCTGTAAAGATGACTGAGAAGCCCTGACTTGATAAACGGGAAAAGATTTGATGAATTGCCACCAAGCATTAAAAAAATTCAAGAAGTAAATTAATTTTCCATGTAGCAAATGTTTGCTTGTAATCTATTTGCAAAATGTGCAAAATCACTATATATTAAAATCTCTGTTGTTTTCTTTCTTCACAGGCAAATCCTCAGGGACCATAACTGCCTCCAGACTCTACTACAGCACCTGCGCTCCCACAGCCTGACCATAGTGAGCAACGCCTGTGGGACTCTCTGGAACCTTTCAGCTCGGAGTCCAAAAGACCAGGAGCTGCTGTGGGACCTCGGAGCAGTTAGCATGTTGCGCAACCTTATCCATTCTAAGCACAAAATGATAGCCATGGGCAGTGCTGCAGCTTTAAGGAACCTCCTCACCAACCGCCCCCTGAAATATAAGGATGCTGCAGTCGTATCCCCTGGCTCCTGCATGCCCTCACTCTACATGAGGAAACAGAAGGCTTTGGAGGCGGAGCTGGATGCCAAACACCTGGCGGAGACTTTTGATACACTTGAGAAACAGAGCCCCAAGCACCTAACCCTCAACAAGCCACTTCGGCACATCGAGAGTCTGGCGAAGGATTATGCTTCTGATTCTGGATGTTTTGATGATGATGAGGCTCCCAACGTCTCCAGCAGCCTGGACACTGGCAGCTTCTCTATGCTGTCCATGTTCCTCACCAACTCTAACTTCCTGCAAAACCAGCCTCGTAAGAGGGACAACGAACCTGAGAGAGACGTAGAAAAACCTCAGATGATCGAGAAGAGACATGCACCTCCTGATGATGTGGTCTCAGCCGCTGCAGAGAAGCTAGCAAAAAAGATCACCAACACAGTTGCCAAGATCGACAGGTTAGTGGAGGACATCACGATGCACACATCCTCGGAGGATAGTTTGAGCCTCAGCTCTGAGGATCACCTGGCAGACTGGCCTTACGGACTAGATGATCTCAATGAAGCAAAATCTTGCTCCCCCTGCCGTCTGTCTGATACAAGCAGCCTGGCCCACAGAGAACGTCTCAGCAGGGCCCACGCTCTACTGCGCCTCAAAACTGCACACAAAAGTGTCTCAACAGACAGTCTAAATAGTGGCAGCACCAGTGATGGCTACTGTGGCAGCAAAGACCAGATGCGACCTGCTCCAAGAGCGCTAATGGTACAAAAACGACCCAACCAGCTTGACCTTAAGGTGGCTCATCAAGAGTACCTGAATGTTGGACCTGTTGTCCTGACTGAGTCTACCCAGCAGGATATTCCAGAGCGAGATTCTGTGGACAACAAAGATGTTAAAGTTCTAGAGCTAAGCGACACCGATTTAGAAAAGAACCAGGATAAACCCCTACAAACACCAGTCAGTGTATCCACTAAAGTCTCCTCCGATGTCAGCATGACTTCAATCAAACTGTCTCCATCTTATCAGCAGGTCCCTCTCATTCAAAGTGTGGCCACATTTGGTGTAGCAAAGACAGCGATCAACGTCCAGGCTGCCCAAGCAATGAGAAGGCAAGCATGGGTACCCACGGTGATGACTGGGGGGAGCATTACAAAATTCTCTCCAATGGCATCCACCAGAAGCCCAACCATCGCCACGATGGAGACAGTCCAGAAATACTCAGTTGAGAACACACCAATCTGCTTCTCTCGCTGCAGTTCACTGTCCTCCCTCTCTTCTGGTGATGGAGCACTGGATGGACAAAGTGAAAATGAGCTGGAGAGTGACTCATCATTAGAAATTATTGAAGTGGAGGATGGAGAAGAGGTGAAGAGAACTGAAGAGGATGAAACCCTGGAGGATCTGAGCGACAGCCAGCTGCTGATGACTGACTCTAAAACATTCCCAAGCAAAGAGACGGATCCTATTGAAATCCCCCGTCCTACTAAAAGGGAAAAGGTTTTCCTAAGAGGAGCCTCACCGGCCGTACTTGATGACAGATCTCCATCTAGTTCATCTGAGAATTACATCCATGAGACACCCCTGGTAATGAGTCGCTGTAGCTCAGTCAGTTCCCTTGGCAGTTTTGAGTCTCCCTCTATAGCCAGCTCAATCCAAAGTGATCCATGCAGTGAGATGATTGATGGGACAATAAGTCCAAGTGATCTTCCAGACAGTCCAGGGCAAACAATGCCACCAAGCCGAAGTAAAACTCCATGTTGTGTTGAGTCAAACGGACTAGAAACACAGACCACAGGAATAGCTGGCCAGTGGGAAAGTAGCCTGCGAAAGTTCATGGAGATCGCAGACTCGAAAGAGAGGTTTAATCTTCCTCCTGATCTGGACACAATGATCTACTTCACGGTTGAAAAACCAACTGAGAACTTCTCTTGTGCTTCAAGCTTAAGTGCTCTCCCTCTCCATGAACACTACATACAGAAAGACGTGGAGCTGAAATTGACCCCCCTGCTCCAGCAAAATGACAAAAATCTTCCGTTCCCTGACGAGGATGAGCACGGACTCGACCACGGGGAAAGATACAGTGAGGGCAACTCAGACGATGACATAGAAATCTTAAAGGAATGCATCAACTCAGCAATGCCCTCCAAATTCAGAAAAGTAAGGCCTTCCCTGATGACCACAATCCCTCCTCATATTCTTAATTCCCGAAAATCGATTCATCTTCCCGTGTACATGATGCTCCCGAATGGCAAAACACAAATGTGTCCTGGAAGGAGAATCGTCATCCCACAAAAGGACTTCAAATTTGATGACTCATCCTTCACTGATTCTGCAGAAGGTACACCTGTTAACTTCTCCAGCACAACATCGCTAAGTGATGAAACTCTTCAGTATCCAGTGAAAGAGAGGGGGGCTAAGGACTGCACAGCTAAAGGTATGAACAAACATGAAGTGCTCGACGATGAGGAAAAAAGGATTGAAGACTTGAGGATATTCTCACACTTCCACAAACCCAACAGGATGAATTACCCACCTGAGATACAAATGAACCGGACCACCAAACATGTCATTCCCACTCAGAGGGTCCTGATGCAGAGCAAAGAGGTGGCTGATAGAGTGGCGAGCCAAAGAAATCGTGATCATTCTCCTAACCAACAAAAGAAGAGGCAAGTTCAAGGCACTGTCAGAAAACTGGAACTGCCTGTCATAAAGCAGAACACAGAAGGTAACCTTAATGTGGGATCACAAAGAGGAAACACAATATATCGACAGATGACGCATTCTTCAGAGGACAGCAACAGCTTCTATGAAGACAATAATGAAATTGATGAAACAATGAAGCGAACAAGTAGAAGACAGATCAGGGAAGCGAGTAGAAACACTCTGTCCCGGAGCATGACAAATATTGGCAGGCTTGATAATTCCCAATCCAAGCCCAGAGGATTTAACAAGATTAAACAGAATCTGATCAAGGATGAGTCTCTGGGATGTTACTCACTCAGTTCCTCTCTTAGTTCACTGAGTGATGCTGAGTTTGAGGATCACAAATCAAAAGCCCAACAAATATGGTACAAAAATAGACACAACAAAACACTGAATATGATGCAACAAACAAAGTCGATGACCATTCACAGCCAGTACGAAGAGCAAAGTTCACCAAGCTCCGTCAGCATGGACTCAGAGGATGACCTCCTTCAGAAATGCATAACGTCTGCCATGCCCAGGCAGAGGAGGAAGCTTGCTGCCAGGAGGAAGAAAGCTGAAAATACTCAAAAACAAAAAGCATCTGATGTTTGGGACATGGATGAGGAAATGGATAGCGATGACACGGCATGGGACAGAGATTCAGACCTCAACAGTGTTGAATGGAGAGCCATTCAGGAAGGTGCTAATTGTGTTGTCAGTGGGCTGCAGGCATCCAAGTCTCAAGATCCATCCTCTGAGGAGACAGAATCAGTCCTGTCATTCATGTCAACTTCCAGCTTTACTCCCAAAGAAAGGAAGTTTGCTAAAGACAAAAAGGCCAATAAACCTTTAGACTTCGCACAACGCAAGCCAGTTCCAAACTTACCTGTGGTCTTCAGAGGCAGGACAGTGATCTATACACCAAAAAAAGAGACGGCCCCATCACAAATACCTCCCCCCAGAAAAGTACCAACAAAGACAGATGCTCCAAAGAACCCAAATCTTGCTCAGCACAGATCGAAGAGCCTTCACCGACTGGGTCGTCCCCAGGACATAGAGCTGTCTTTGCCAAAGAGGAGCTCTACTCCACCTCCAAGGATACCAAAAAGTTCCTCCTCTGGATCGTCACAAAGCTCTACACCCTCCAAACAGAGTCAGAGGAAGATAACATCGCCGATTCAGACAAATAAACCCATCCAGAAAAAGAACGCCACACCAGCTAGCAGTCCACCAGCTAGCAGTCCCCCTGAAAGGAAGGGACGATCTCCTGTTATGAATCAAAATGAAAGATCACCACCACCTAAAACTCAGAAGTCACCTGTCCGAATCCCTTTCATGCAAAATTCAGGCAGGCAACCCAGACCTCTGTCACCGCTAGTGACTAATCAAACAACCAACAGACAAACCAATCAGATCAACGGGAAAAGGGTTTTACCCCCCAATCGATTTGACCTTGTTAGGATGACTTCTGTCCACTCAAGTGGTGGCGAGACTGATCGCAGTGGATTCTTGAGACAGCTGACTTTCATTAAAGAATCAAAGACTGTGCTGAGACGTGATGGTTCTGTCCGCAACATGCCTGGATCTCAGAATGGATCTCCCCGCAGAGGAGTTCCTGGAGCTTCAGCTGTCTTCCTTTGCTCATCACGCTGTCAGGAACTTAAGGCCGCTGTGCAAGCCTCAAGAAGGGTGCAGGTCAAAGGTCCAGGACAAGTACAGATTGTCCACAGACCAGACTGTGGCCTTCAGAAGCAGACTTCATCCATCTGTGGAGCAACCTCCAGTGAAAGGGATCTATCAGGCAGACGACCAGCCAGGAGGACTAGCTCCGAAAGCCCCTGCAGGGTGGCTCAAAGAACTGGGCCTGGCAGAGTGTCTGGAATCAGACAGCAACAAGACAAAGATACCTTTAAACGTCACGCCTCATCACCAAGCATAAATATACTGAGCAGGGTGACCAGCCGCTCTTCCCTCCGCTCTTCGTCATCTGATTCAAGTGGAAGAGCAAAGAGCGAGGATGATACAAAGAAGAAAGGGCCGAGATCCTCATCTCGGCTGAATGACAGAGTAACCTGGAGGAGAATCAGGGATGAAGATGTACCTCAGATCTTGAAAAGCACCCTGCCAGCTAATGCATTACCTCTGGTGCCTTCTCCTGACGGGGAAAAGCCAAAGCTGGCAGCTCTTCCAGGAAAACTGCCAACCATTCTACTTGCATCTCGCAAGACAAGTGACGCAACCGTCCAGACAGAAGATTTTACCAATAACAAGACCAACTCGAGCACCTCACCGACGGTGGAAACTGCGCCGGAAGTGGCACAACATGCCCTCTTCAGGAAGATCAGTGCCACCTCAGGGAGTAACCTCCAGGATGGTGATTCAGACGGTTCCCTGAGGAGCCACAGCACCAGATCTACAGGAACATCAGACAGCCACGTGGGAGGAGTTGTTCATTTCCGCCATGGATCCCCCAGCAAGGCTGTCCGAGTCACCCCTTTCAACTACACCCCCAGCCCCATGGCCTGCTGCCTTCAAGACGCACAGAGCCAAGCTGCCACAATCAACGAGAAGTCAGGAGAGAAAAGTGAGTCGTAGTACGTTTAGTGAATTACAGGATGACTCCATTGTGGTCCTGATTAAAACTCTCAAACACTCAGGTGGACAGACGAGGAGTGTGCTGGTCCCTATACCTCGGATATTGACCCTTTACTTTACCCCATTCTCTCCATGCAAGTTTGATCATAGCTTCCATTCGTACACGGTTGGATGTATGCATTGAGACAGGTCTGACATGAACGGACCCACAATAACTTTTAGAGATGCACTTCAGAGAAAAGTCTCCCCCGAAGAGGAAGTGCATCTTTTTGTACTTTTTGTATTTGTAGAATAATCATTGCCTGGTAGAAATGTAGTTAAACTATAAAGCAAAAGACAATGAACTTGATTTCAGCACATGAATCTCCATCGGTCTCCAGGACAGATTCGATAACAAGAACAATATTATGCAAGCGTTAGAGTGAAAGCTCAGCTGGACTTTCACAAACTGTGGCCGACTGTTGTCAGACTTTCACAAAGGACACAAACACACCGACATGTAAAGTATTTTTTACAGTGCATCATCGCCTCATCGCTCAATATGAGACACTGTCAACATTTCCAGAGTCCAGCAGGATCAGAGAAGACTTTTGATAAAACATTCCTTCAAATGATTTGCATCGTTACTTTATTATTTTGATCTTGGGTCGTTCACTGAAGCTTTGCAAAGCTACAGGTAGATGCACAAGCAGGAAGGAAAAAGAGCGGCTACATTATTTACTTTCAACTATTAATATAAAATGATTAAAAATTATACTTGGTCAAGTACAAACTCCAGGGTAGCTGTAGACGAAATGGGATAAAGCTCCAGGGTGGTCCAGAAAATTCAATACCGTACAAAATATACCGAAATATTATTGAGAGTTTATAATCCCACAGTTAATAGTCGTGTCCAACCTTAGAAACAGAGATGTGATGGGTCTCGTTCTCACTCTGTTCGTATGAGGGGATGATTCATGAAACACCTTCACGCTGACCCCTGCTGGACTGTTTCCATCACTGCATAAGTAAATGTTCCAGTGGATACTGTTATTTTTCAACCGCTTGTTCTCTGTGTCTTAATCAGTGTTGTAAATATCATTCATGTATACAAACCCCTCAAAGCTTCCCTGACAGCATGCTAATATATTCACTGACTGTAAACACACTGGATGACAATGATGTCATCACTCTGACATCATTTCTAGAAATCTGTATTATTGTGCTGCAAACACCTATAATGCTATAAAGTGTCAGTGTAGGATGAACAAAGCGACAACGCGCCTTGTTTGGCTATTTCCTGTTCGGAGATGAACAGATGATTTGATTGGATGATGGTCGGACAGGTGTGTGTCCTCTGGAAGTCTTTACAAACGTGTTAATATCTGCTTTACTGTGTTGCTGTAAAAGTAGCGGTAGGTGGAGAAGAAGTCGAATATTAATACGATGAATATTCTCTGTAGTTGTACCATCACTCGTCCATGTGTGCTTGGAGACAAAGACAGGACAGACAGGACAGACAGGAATCTACACTGAGGGGCTGTTTAACGTTCTGTATTTACCTGTTGTTTCCACAGCATGTTTTCAATATGCTTTTAAATAGAAACCGTACAGGTCCCTCTTCAGATCATTGAGACAGAAAGACACTCAGACGTTATACATGAGCTCAAATAAGAGTCAAAGTGTGAGTTTGTGAAATGATGAAATTCAAAGTTTCTAGTAAAATGTCAGAGTGAGTCCATGTGAGAAAAAGCAGGAACATGTCCGGTCAGTCTGCCAGCTGCTGTGACTCATAGCTGGAGCCAGAACAACTTATCGTTTAATCAATTCATCTTTAACATGAAATCCAATAAATTCAACTAAAGGAAATAAAATGTCACATTTACAAACAAGTTTCTGATTTGTTCACAGGTTTAAAGGTGATAAGAAACTTATCTGATCCTCATTTCACAAACGTTTTCTGATCTTATTGAAGCTCATGACTGAAGGTTGAGTTTCTAAACTTTGCAGCTGAGTATTTTATACTCAGACAGATTGTTGGTGAAAATCTTTTAACAGCCCTGATAAGATGAAACAATGAAAACTGTGTGACTAAAACGAACGGGGAATCAAGCTCCATCAAAAGGTCCCAACAATTGTCCACCGTCCCCGTCCCCGTCCTTGTTGACACCCGGCTGAGATCAGGCTTTTCATTAAATCACTCAAACTACTGCAGGTGAATTTTAACTCGGTACTTTGAGTTCACTCATAAACTGAATGTTGGACATTTGATGGCTCATCAGTCGGAGACGTCTCAGCCGATTCTTTACATTTAGTTGATTTGTCTGCAACAGGTACATTCACTCTGAGGGACATCACCTTGAACGTCTCAACAAATCTGTTCAACAAATCTGTTCAACAAATCGTTGCTTGATCATCAATGAAAAAAGAACACATTTTCAAATATTCATCATTGACTGACAAAATAAATGATTCTGTATTTAATTCAATCTAAATAAATAGATCTCAGCTCCTCGTGTGTGAATGAGGCCGCAGACGTGTGACGGTGTCATGTGAAATAGGCAAAGCAACAGACGTGTGTCATTATAAATGTTTTCATCTAATAAAGAGTGACGTGTTTCATTACGCTGCCGTGTCGACCTCTTCATGCAGTGAAGACGTGAATGAAAACAGCCCACACTGCTTTTTGATAGAAACTGAGTTCAGAGGGAATTTAACTGTTTAAAGTCAGACGTGGTGAAGTTGAAGCTGTGACGGAAGATGAAACATAAATACTGAGACTTTTCCATTTCTGTTTTCAGTGTTTATGAGTTTTTCCTTGTTTTTTCTCACTTTGCAGCAGTTTTACATTTGTTGTCAGATTCATTTTCTTGATTTCTTGAGCTGAAGTGGGTTAAGTGTCAAAGTATGGAACACACACACACACACACACACACACACACACACACACACACACACACAGTACAGTTCAGTTCAGTTCAGTCAGACAACAGTGACTCCTGAAGGACAACTGGTGTCGGGGTCAAGGGCACTACGTCAGGTCAGAGAACCAGGCCAGAGGAGGCGTCCAGAGAGGAGGCGTCCATAGAGGAGGCGTCTAGAGACGAGGCGTCTAGAGACGAGGCGTCTAGAGACGAGGCGTCTAGAGACGAGGCGTCCGTGGCAGCAGATGTTTTAGAGTCAGAGAGTTTGACCCTTGACCTTTTCCACATCTTTGTCCAGCTCCTCCCCCGCTGCCTTGAGCTCCTCCCTCTGTCGTAGCAGCTGACCTCGAGCCTCCTGCAGCCGCTCGTTCAGCTCCAGGTAACGACGACACTGAAGGAACTTCATGTCCACGTCAGAGTCTGAGGGCTGTGACACGTCTGAGCAGACAGAGACAGGTGGTTAACTACAGGACTGAAGGACAGACAGGGAGATGTCGACAGATGGACAGACGGGTGGACTCACCCTGTCCGCTCTGCTCCAGGACACTGAACACTGGGTCGCTGGGTGCAGTCCTGTTGATGTCCTCCAGGATCTGGTCCACTGTGGGGGGGTCAGGACGGCTGGGCAGGACCACCCTCTTCTTGTTTTTATTCATGATGGGGACCCTCGGACAGACCAGGACTGAAACTACAGGAGACACAGTCACGTGACTGCACTGACACCAAATACCCATAATGCAATGAGAAGCTCCAGACTTCTGTTTACTCATCTATTCAAAGAACATTCAGTGACGTGTCCTGAACGTGTTCCTCTGTCTGGACAGGAATTTACCTCAGTCTAAGAAAAGCAGCGACTCATTCTTCATCTAAAACGAATCTACAGAAGTTCAGAGTCTGAGTTTATACAAGTGTGACATGTTGCCATGTTGGCTGGAGGCTAACCGCTAGCTAGCTACATCAGTGTGGACATTAGAACAAGTCCAGAGAAACATTTCTGAGCCGAACTGTCAAACCATCATCATGTTCATGACGTAGATAAAGATTAAAGATGGCGTCATGTTTAGTGAACACTTCACGCTCTGACACGTCACAAGGACGAGCCACAGGTCCGATCTCACCGCGGTGTGTCCCTGAGAAGCTCCGGGTGTCTCTGGTGGGTGGGGGGTGTCTCTTGTCCCTCGGTGTCTCTTGTCTCTCAGTGGGTGTCTCTTGTCTCTCGGTGTCTCTCAGTGGCTGTCTCTTGTCCCTCGGTGTCTCTTGTCTCTCGGTGTCTCTTGTCTCTCAGTGGGTGTCTCTTGTC